AGAGGCCTCACTGTGCAGCAGACCCCCCTCCTGGGGGCGTGGGGCTGGGGTTGGTGGCAGGTGGCCGCACCCAGCACACCCACACCCATTCTGTTCCAGCAGACTCGCCTCAGCCAACTTCCCCCACGTGTCGAGGATCTGGTAGCATTTCTACCCTGGAAATGCAGTAAGTTTAAAACTTCTCATCCTTTGTTTTCAGGAGAGAACGGTGGGAAAGCCACCACAGTCCAGCAAAACGACACACAATGCTGGAAGCTCTGCCACTGGTATTCAGACACCAGCAGGGTCACCCATGGCGGACAGGTTTCAGCTGAGCTTCCAGACTAAGACAGACTAGGAAAAAGGACCTGGCTGGCCACTTCTGAAAAGAAGTAGCCAGTGAAAACCTTATGAATAGCAGCGGAACACTGTTTGATATAGTGCAGGAAGGTGAGCCCCTCAGGTTGGAAGGCACTCAAAAGATGACTGGGGAAGAGCTGCCTCCTCAAAGCTGCACTGAAGGCGCTTGTGAAAAACAAAGCTCCAGGAATTGACGGAATACCAACTGAGATGTTTCAACAAACAGATGCAGTGCTCACTTGTCTATGCCAAGAAATCTGGAAGACAGCTACCTGGCCAACCGACTGGAAGAAATCCTTATTTGTGCCCATTACAAAGTAAGGTGATCCAGCTGAATGTGGAAATTATCAAACAATATTATTAATATCAACACAAGTAAAATTTTGCTGACTAGCATTCAAAAGCAGTTAAAGCAGCGCATCGACAAACTTCCAGAATTCATTAGAAGATGCGGAACAAGGGATATCATTGCTGATGTCAGATGGATCTTGGCTGAAAGGAGAGAATACCAGAAAGATGTTTACCTGTTTTATTGACTATGCAAAGGCATTCAACCGCGTGAATCATACCAAATTACAGATAACACTGGAAAGAATGGGAATTCCACAACACTTAATTGTGCTCATGCAGCATCTGTACACAGATCAAGAGGCAGTCGTTTGAACAGAACAAGGGGATACTGTGTGGTTTAAAGTCAGGAAAGGTCTGTGTCAGGGTTGTATCGTTTCCCATACTTATTCAATTTGTATGCTGAGCAAATAACCCAAGAAGATGGACTATGTGAAGAACGGGGCATCAGGATTGGACTAAGGCTCATTAACAACCTGTGATATGCAGCTGACACAACCTTGCTTGCTGAAAGTGAAGAGGACCTGAAGCATTTACTGATGAAGATTAA